CAGTAGAACTATATACAAAAGATGAGGTAATCAGTCCCTCCAAGGCTGAGGGACGGATTACCTCATCTTTTGGATATCGTTCTTCTGACTTCCCATTATGTCCTTGAATTTGTATTGATAAAGCAACTGGATGGTGAAACATCTACAATAAGGATACCTAGATGTTGTACCTGTGTCTAATTCTTCATCAAAATCTTTATAAATTGGTTTGTCTCTAATTCTTTTATATGTATGCTTTTGTTTTCATTTCCTTTCATTTTATTACCATGATAAACCAAATAATGGTATGTCCAGCCTTTGTTTTTTATATATAACATTTAATTTTTATAGCCAGACTTGAGTCCTGGAAATGGGAAGTACAATGCCTGCACTTTAAAGGAGGGGTTTAAGATATTGGCAGTTTGGAGGGATATGTTGTGTATCTTTATACGTACATATGCTTCTAAACTGTAGTATTCTGAGCACCTCTGCAAAAGCAGTGATAATGTGTGAGTGAGGTGAAAGTGTTGAATGATGATGAAAGTATTTTCTTTTGGGGGATTTTCTTTCTTTTTTGGGTCACCTTGCCTCGGTGGGAGACAGCTGATGTTAAAAAAAAAAAAAGAAAAAATTTTCTTGACATCTTCATTTATTTGGCCACCGGCCATTCCAATAAAATCTTTTGTTTTTATTGTTTCCTACATGGACAGCTTCTATCTGATAGATTCTTGAAGATTTCCTCTTATGTTCCTGATTTTTTTAGTAAATTCTTTGTTTTTCAGTATGAGTGCTAAAGTACCACGCTGTTCTTCTTCTCATACTTTAATATTTTCCTATTCCCAGCTATTTGCTCATTACAGTGGACCCTCGACCAACGATGGCATCGTCTAACGTTAAATCCGACTAGCGATACATTTTAACGCAAAAATTTTGCCTCGACTAGCGCTAAAAAACTCAACCAACACGATTCGTTCTGTCTGAGATGCGTCCACTTGTGGCCAGTGTTTACAAGCCAGCCAGCCAGCCACCGCGGTCCCATCCAAACATACAACTGAAACATTTCATATTATCACAGCGTTTTTAGTGATTGCACCTGCAAAATAAGTCACCATGGGCCCCAAGAAAGCTTCTAGTGCCAACCCTACAGCAAAAAGGGTGAGAATTACTATGGATATGAAGAAAGAGATCGTTGAAAGTGGAGTGTGTGTCTCCGAGCTGGCCAGGTTGTACACAAAACCCCAATCAACCATCGCTACTATTGTGGCCAAGAAAACGGCAATCAAGGAAGCTGTTCTTGCCAAAGGTGCAACTATGTTTTCGAAACTGAGATCCCAAGTGATAGAAGATGTTGAGAGACTGTTATTGGTGTGGATAAACGAAAAACAGATAGCAGGAGATAGCATCTCTCAAGCGATCATATGTGAAAAGGCTAGGAAGTTGCATGAGGATTTAATTAGAAAAATGCCTGCAACTAGTGGTGATGCGAGTGAATTTAAGGCCAGCAAAGGTTGGTTTGAGAGATTTAAGAATCGTAGTGGCATACATAGTGTGATAAGGCATGGTGAGGCTGCCAGTTTGGACCAAAAAGCAGCTGAAAAATATGTGCAGGAATTCAAGGAGTACATAGACAGTGAAGAATTGAAACCTGAACAAGTGTTTAATTGTGACACTGACAATGTTGTGAAACACTTTAGGAATGTCATAAAGGAACGGGAGGTACAAGCCTTTATGGACAGATATGTTGTGCGACAGAGGTCCAGTGACTCTGAAGCTGGTCCTAGTGGCATTAAAAGAAGAAGGGAAGTAACCCCAGAAAAGGGCTTGACACCTCAAGTCCTAATGGAAGGGGATTCCCTTTCTAAACACTAACACCATCCACAGTCTCCCCTCCTCCCATCCCATCAATCATCACCAGATCTTCAATAAAGGTAAGTGTCATGTAATTGTACATGTCTTCTTCAGTTTGTGTGTATTAAAATTAATATTTCATGTGGTAAAATTTTTTTTTTTCAATACTTTTGGGTGTCTTGCACGGTTTAATTTGATTTCCATTATTTCTTATGGGGAAAATTAACTCGACTAATGATAATTTCGATTAACGATGAGCTCTCAGGAACGGATTAACCCTTTCAGGGTCCAAGGCCCAAATCTGGAGTCACGCACCAGTGTCCAAGAATTTTCAAAAAAAAATTTTGTTATTTTTTCTTATGAAATCGTAGAGAAAATTTTTGTGAAGGTAATAAAACAAAAAGTACAAAATTTGGTGGAAAATTGACGAAATTATGCTCTCGCAAATTTTGATGTGTCAGCGATATTTACGAATCGGCGATTTTGCCAACTTTGACTCCCATTTTAGGCCAATTACATTATTCCAATCAACCAAATTCTTAGCTATTTCACTAGTATTACTTCTATTCTATCGATTGAGCACAAGAAATCGCCAAGTCAACTGTTTCAACTACGAAATAAAGTGATCGGAAATTGTTAATTTGGCCAATTTAACACAAAGTTCAAAATATTCCAATTTCAAAATAGGGTCCAGAATGAACAATGTAGGCATTCCTGGCACTAAACTAACATTTTCTCTGTTCATTAGTTATGTTTTGAGGCTTTACAAATTAAATTCCATTTTGATTTTTATTCCACATAATGAATTTTTATTCACACCAAAAAATAGAAGATTTACTGTTATGCAATACTGTAATAATTGTATAAATATCATCACCATATTTGTGAATGTATATTAGACCCACCAGCTGACGTGTATTAGACGTGTGAGGTCGTTTGTTTACTCTTGAATATCGGCAAAAATTTAACATTTCTGCTACTTTGAGCTCAGTTTCAAGCCATTTCCAGTGCTAAAACCAATCAAAATCATCTCTATTGCTGTAATATGTCTTCCATTCTATCAAATGAGACCAAGAAATCGCAAATACAACTATAAAAAACATACGAAAAAACACTGCAAAGTTGCTGTTTTAATCGAAAAATCATGATTTAATTTTGTTTCTCTCATTATACACAGTGTGCTGCAGGATCTGTTTTATGTGGTGCACACATACCACATAGATGTATTCTCTCATATCTAGGCCCAAATGTACCACTCACAGTTTATCAGAGTGAGCTGAGCTCATGGCGTAGATCTACGGTTTGGACCCTGAACATAAAGCCGTAGATCTACGGGACGGACCCTGAAAGGGTTAAAATTGTTGGTCGAGGGTCCACTGTATTGTAAAAATCCTTAAAGCTTAAGTTTTACTGTATTTTTATTATTCTTTCTGTACTTCTGTATATTTTTGGAACAGTGTTACCCGAGTTTACACTTGTCTGTCAGGAATACACTACATACAGTATAAGCATTTCCAAAATATTGGCTTGCCAAAACAAGACATTAAGTGAGCAGTTGAACCCTCTCCCTAAGAGAAAACTGTCAGCAAAGCTGCTAAGATACCCAGCTATACCACAACCCAGTAACAACTGTATTAGCATTATACTGTATGTAAGTGTAGCAAATGTCTAAAATGGTAACTGAAAAATACTGGTAATTAGTGGAAAAAGTAAAGAGGGCAAAAACCCTAAGGCATGCCACAAACACGAATACTTAACAAATTTTACTTACAAATTGATGCTATGCACAATCACCACGTTAAAGTTTCCTCACACACATTTATTTTCCTCTCTTAAACAACAGTTGCATCCAGGCAACATAATACATTTTGGCAATAGTGCTGGTACTGTACAGTACTTCATATATATAAAAGTTAATTCTCTGTGATTATTTTTTAATTCTTAAATTACCTAGCCAATAACACTTGTAGCTACCTCACTCCATTTACCTCAGAAGAAAAATGAATTCTGTACACTTCAAAAACCTCCTGCTCACTAATATTTTATAAACAAATATAAACATTTACCTCTTTCTTCACAAAATAGGTTGAACTGATGACAATAAGTCAAAACACTAGAGACAACTTGCTTAATAATTGATGAATGTAATGTCTCATCCCTGATAAAGAAAGCACTTCATGAGCATGCCCTTAAAGCAAGAGTTTTCCTTGATATTACACATGGTTACGGTTGGTCTACCACTTACAACACCTGAGCCTAGTGGTACCTGCTCTATCAAGCTGCTGTTGCGTGACTTATATGCCTGTATAGCAGCTGAAGAGTGATTTGCCAAGTTTTCGCTGTGTAGATTCCAGTCTCATTTTGCTGGCACTCAGTGTCATAGAGGTTATGTCTCATGCACTGACATCTCGCTGAAGTCACAGCCCTTTGAGGCACAGGAATTATTTCCTGGAAATTTGTACATTCAGTAGTACCTTTCTATTTAACTAGTATACCATTTATCAATATGTAGTCATAATGCATAAAAACACAAGAGGCTGAACAATGAATAATTCTAGATGCCTCTACACAGCAAATGAAAAATGCATGAAACAGATCACACCTTTTACTACACGTTCATACTTTTGACTCTTCTACGAATTTCACCAACAAAATTATTTTCCATATAAAAATAAGAATTTCCTTTTAAACTGCCTGGAGCAAATATGAAGATATTACTAATTACCATGTGCTGATTCCCTCTTAGACGATAAAAAAAGAAAAATTACTAGAACTACTGAAACAAAAAAAATACGGGCTCACTAGGTGGAAATTTTAATCCAGCGTTGAAAATTCAGCACTACAATAAAGGCTCCTGTGTTGTCTTCATTCTGGTCAAACATCACAAAATTCTACTTCTCACTGTTGTGGTATGGTACTGATATCAGTAACATTTCAAGTGAAAATATAACTGGTACCAATAAACATCTCTTCTTTAAGTTACTAGTACACTTACAATTCATGCATAATAAATATGCTGTGGGCAACCCTCGACACGTACATTTTAAGTGTTACTGCAGAGCCAATAGGTGAATAATCTTGATTCTTAATACTGTAAATGCAAACATGCAGACACAAATCTGAATACAGAAAATTTACAATTTAAAAAACAGATAAGAAAAATTATAACTTACGGTGCCAGGGGTGTGCGCGCTCGGATGCCACACCCTTTCTCATCTGCGTTGAACACCTCTACATCTCCATACTGGAAATTCTGGAACCTTTTGTTGGTACATCGGTCTCTCAGTGGACACCGTGAACCACTGAACAGGAAAAGGAAAAAAAAAATTTTATATGTATCACTTCAGAAAAGTTTCACTCTTAAAAAATACATACATTACTCTAAAATATTTCAATCTCTATATATTAGAAAATGACTTTGAATATACAGTACACACTCTTCTGACAATTCAAAGCAGTCAACATTTATGATGTACTGATGAAGTTAAAGGCTATGCTGCATTGCCTGTGTTGTTAGATTTAAGAAAAAACTCCTTGTCTTGTATAACCCTCAACCCTGAAGACTTAAGGCAAGCTTGGTAAACCTCCAGCTCATAAGACAGGCATGCTTCAATCCCTTCACAATACCATATTTTATGTTATGATAGGTAATGAATGAGATAAGATTTTGGTCAAAAATCCCAGTTGTGGCACTGTACTGCATCACAAAATAGTACATTACTAATGTGTAGAAACCCTTTGAGGCAAACCAAATCACACCACAACCACTTGTATTATAAAATTAAAATTTCTGAATCTTCAAAGCAAGCAACATTTGACACAGCTTCTCACACTGTAAAATGCACAATCCCTGACCCTTTGAGACAAGCCATTCAAGACCCACAACCACCCACAATATAAAACGTAAGATCCCCAATAGTACATAAATGACATTACAAGGTACATATGTGATGATGAAATAATATGCACAGTACAGTTGAACACCATTACTGTGCTCTTACAGTCCAGCTGTTCAGAAACTGTTCTGATTCACAGGAATAAATCCAGAAGACCTAGATTTTCAGGAATATATCCAGAAGACCTAGATTTTCAGGAATAAATCCAGAAGACCTGGATTTGCAGAAATAAATCCAGAAGAGCTGGATTTGCAGGAATAAATCCAGAAGGCCTGGGACAGGGCTGTCAGAGTAGGAAAGCTCTCAAAACCCTTCAAGGGTATAGATACGAAAGGCAATTCTGGAAAATTTGGAATGGCTTTATTCAAAATCTAGCAACAAGAACTGACTGCAAGTAACAGTATGCCATATTATGAGTAAGGACACAGCACAAGATGCTCCTCTCTCTCTCTATTTTATCTTACAATGAGCAAGCCTCTTTACACCTACTGTTCATGTAGCAGTGAACAGGTATTTGGGTGTTAACCCTATCACTCTCTTTCTTACGTAGATCTACATTATTAATGCCACTGTCACTAGTGCCCTCATATATGCTGTGAAAGGCAAATTTTGGTGCTGACAGGAGAGAATGAGTCTGTGCAGCGAGTATGCACAGTATAAAAAAAATTCTGCCCCATACACAAGTGCATAATGGGAAAAGCAAACCTCTGACCTTGTGCCTGGTTTAAATAACGAATTTGAGGTGTTACCAAGGATGGTTTCTATGGTTTTATTGGACGTTTCTTGAAATAGAGAAGATTTTGGTCAATTTCAGGACTGGAGGCAGCTTGAAAAACAGAGCTCAAAGTATCTGAAACATTTGATTTTATGCCAATTTTCCTGAGGAAGGATAAGGCCCCTGTGCCCCCATCTGTTTTATGGGTAATTTATTAGGTCTTCAATTATTAGGATTCTCTACACCATGACAATCGTTCCTGAGAAATAGGGTAAAAAAATTCCATTTTTTGTGTGATGATAGATTTAAAAATGGAGGGCAAGTGTTAACAAGGAGACCTGGATACATGATTAACCCTTTGACTGTTTTCGACGTATATATACGTCTTACGAGCCAATGTTTCTGACGTATATATACTCAATAATTCTAGCGGCTTCAAATCAAGTGGGAGAAAGCTGGTAGCCCCACATGTGAGAGAATGGGTCTATGTGGTCAGTGTGCACCACATAAAAAAAATCCTGCAGCACACATTGCGTAATGAGAAAAAAAAAACTGATAGTTTTTTTGGAATAAAACGCCGACTTTGAGGTGTACATATTTTCGTATAGTATTTATCATTGTATTCGCGTTTTCATGGTCTTAGGTGATAAAATGGAAAACATATTACAGAAATAGAGATGATTTTCATTACTTTTACTATGAAAACGACCTTGAAACTGAGCTCAAAGTAGCGGAAATGTTCGATTTTTACCAATGTTCAAGAGTAAATAAATCACACCACACGTCCAATACACGTCAACTGGGGAGTCTAATATTCTTTCACTAGTGCACTGATATTATTTATACCATTTTTACAATAATGCAGTCGTCTGCATAACAGTAAATTTTGTATTTTTTTGTATGAATAAAAAATCAAAATAGAAAGCAATAATAATATAAGAGGGGCCTAGAGATGTGACTAATGAACAGAGCATATGTTATTTTAGTGCCACGAATGTCTACCTTGTTTATTCTGGACCCTATTTTGAAATTGGCATCTCTTTTATTTTGCGTGAAATTGGCCAAATTGCCAATTTCTGACCACCATATTGGGTAGTCCAAAATAGTAAATGGGAGGTTTCTTGTACTCAGCTGATAGATAAAATGGAGTTCTAAAGAAATAGCTATGAGTTTGGTCAACTGGAACAATGG